AACTATATGCATATGTGAAGTTTGTTTCCAAAAGGTACCTAATTCCCCTCAAAATGAGTAATGATGTATGGGTGGCAGCACAATATTGGCTAGGAGTAGAATACAGGCAGTCTCCAAGTTACACACAAGATAGGTTCTTAACTTGATTTTGTTTGTAAGTCAGAAGAGGTACATTTTAAAGTATAACTCCAGTCATATCTGTCTGTCTGTCTGTCTGTCTGTCTGTCTATCTATCTATCTATCTATCCCAGCTTTGGATAGCATAGGGAAGGGTTGTGGTGCTTGTTTTGTTGTCTGTGCCTCTGCTCAGAATATTTCACCTCGCTGTTCCTGTGATAATTGGATTTTGAAAAATTTGGCTTGTTCTGGCAATGCTGGTGCTGCTTTTAACAAAACTTCCACTAGATGACAGAGAGGGGAAAGGCCGTCGGTCTTTAAAAGATTTTGTGATTTCTTTATCAATGGCTTTCTTAACTGAAGTATCCCTGTACTGAAGATATGTTAAAAATGCATTTAACATCTATTATAAAACATTTTAAAATTGCTTCTTTCCCTTTCTTTCAGTGGTCTGGGGAGAGTGTAATCATTCCTTCCACAACTGCTGCATGTCACTGTGGGTGAAACAGAACAACCGTTGCCCCCTCTGCCAGCAGGACTGGGTGGTCCAGAGAATAGGCAAATAGATCCACTAGCCATTTTTCTGTTGAACTTCTTTGGAAAGTTATACATGCAACTTCTGTCATGTTTCCCATATGAAAGAAAGGAGGACTCACAATGTGGCAGAATCAGTTATATTTAAACCTACAGAATGCTGTGGACCTGGATTGGCAATCTTTATGTTGGTTTACTAGTCTCTTGGGTCAGTCTTCAACACTGTTTCATCAGGAACATGCATACAATGTGCACATCACTTCAGAATGTATCAGCATTTAGTGTGAGCACTGTACATTGGCCTGCCAATTCTTTAGGATTATGATGTCTGCAGTTAACCTATTGTTCAAAGCAATTCTAGCTTGAACTCTCACTATGTTTCGCAAGACTGATGTATTTAATTCAAATAAATAGTTGTTGATAAAGCACTCTTTGGTGGCTTGATTTTTTTCATTAAGAGGAAGTGTTTCCTTTTATTATCCATAGATTTTGGTATCCATGGGGGGGGGGGTCCTAGAATCAGTCCTAGAATCAAGTGTAATTTGAATTATTGAGATGTTAAATATGCCGCTTGTGTTCTCCAGTTTTTACTCCTTTTAAAGCTTAGATTGTTTGTTCCTATAGAAAGTTTAATTTTGTCCTCTAAAATGCTAGCTAGACATATGAATGATAATGTGGAAGTGACAACAGTTTCTTTATATGCCGAAAGATTTTAGACATGTCCCAGGGTCAAGATAACATTAAAAAAGAAATACTTTTGCACATAATGGAAACTAATGTCAATACTTTCCATTTTTATCCTGAAAAACTAATTCATGTTATAGAACGAGCCCCCAGTGGTGCAGTGGGTTAAACCGGCAGGACTGTTGACTGACAGGTCAGTGGTCGAATCCAGGGAGAGCAGGTTGAGCTCCTTCTGTCAGCTCAAGTTTCCCATATAGGGATATGAGAGAAGCCTCCCACAAGGATGGTAAAACATCAAAAACATCCGGGCATCCCATGGTCAACGTCCAATTCTCTCACACCAGAAGCGACTTGCAGTTTTTCAAGTCGCTCCTGACGTGAAAAAAATGTTATAGAACAAAATAAGTACTTCTAATTTATTTATTTATTTATTTACTATGCTTATATACCGCAATTCTCAGCCCGAGGGCGACTCATTGCGGTGTACAACATGAAAACAAGTTCAATTTACAAAACGTAGTGCAAAACAATCTACAAATCATCATTATCAAAAAACATATTAGCGAAACATCAATATTACTACAAAATTCCTACTACATTCCCAATCGTCTCATCGTCAACACACCATCCGATATCATTACCGTTTTTCCATTCCTATGGTCAATTAGCCAGTCAATGCACTTCTTGGTCAAATGCTTTCTTAAATAGCCAGGTCTTTAACTTCCTGCGGAAAGTCAACAGGGAGGGGGCTAGCCTGATGTCCACGGGAAGGGTGTTCCACAGCCGAGGAGCCACCACTGAGAAGGCCCTATCTCTCGTCCCCGCCAGCCGTGCCTGTGACGCAGGTGGGATTGAGAGCAGGGCCTCCCCGGAAGATCTCAAAGTCCTCGTGGGCTCATAGGCCGAGAGGCGGTCAGTTAGGTATCTTGGAGATTTTATCAGACTTTGTAATTTCAGTGGGACTTAAATGTTGTAACTTCACAGCTTAAATTCATTATGGATTTTTATATTGAAAATGTCCTTCAATTGTTTTTTAGTGCTGGAAACATGCTCCATAGAGTTTACTGACACTGGAGAGTTGGTTTTAAGGGAGAAGTATGGGGAGATTGTGTTCCTCAGACTTGTGCTTGCACATGGTGCTTTGCAGATGCAGTGACAACATGACATAGTGGTATGAGCTTATGACATTTAAAATTCATGAAAATGCTACAAGATCTCATGCATTCTGTGACACTTTACTTTTTTCATCCATTTGAACCACCAGTTATCTTTTTACTCATGTAAACAAATCCATTGTTGATGTATAATAAGAGTGTGTTTTGAATTCCACAACGAATAATGGCTGATATAAAAACTATACAGTCTTACCAAGCAGTTTGTATGCTTGTGAGAGTTGATGGGGAGGCACTTAAATTTATGTTCGCCAGTTTACGATAAAATCTCCTGAGATGTGTGAGAGTACTTGATGCTACAGTAAAACCTGGAAGAACTAGGGAAGTGATTGTGGAAAGAATGTGAGATACTTATTTGAACCAAACAGCTATCCTGGATTTTCTCCTTGAATGAGACAAAGCAGCTAACAAAGTATTTTCCTACAGTAATTCACCAACAGCAACCCTGAAAATACACATCACTATCCATTTCATGAACTGTCTTTTAAGATTTCTATATTAAACTGAATGGATAATTTGGGTGGCAAGTTTCCAGTTTGAAATATTATTAAGTAGCATAGAAGGGGGGCTTAGTTATAACAGGCTATAAATATTTTATTAATCAATAAATGAGTTTAGTTGTACACTTAGAAGCTTCACCCCACAGTACTGTATAGGCTTTACAGTAGGCTTCACCCAAGTCATAGTTTAGCATCATTTTTTTTCTACTCCTGCCTCATCCAGGGTTTTATCATTTTGCCTTGTCCATGTGGCCCACCCATTGTGTACGATTTTATATTATGTTATTTTGCTTTGTTTATTCTGCTACTGTATGTATTTATTATGATGTAATTTTTGTTGTTTTTTGTTGTTTGTATTTTATTTTGCTGTATTGTATCTTTGGGCCTGGCCTCATGTTATCCGCCCTGAGTCCCCTTCGGGCAGATGGTGGTGGGGTCTAAATAAAGACGATGATGATGATGATTATTATTATTATTAAGTCACAGACTAGTTTTTTGAATGATAGCCTTAGTTGTTTATTACAATGTCTGCAACAGCAATTGAGTACAAAGTGTCCCTTTGCAAAGTTTATGTTTTAGGAGCTGTATGCTCACTGGCAACCCTGGTGCTGTTTTGGCTGCTTGCCTCAGATTGTGCTGGATCTTTTCACTTGTTTCCACATTTCACTGCCACTTGCCTCTGATACATGTAGATGAGAATGAGGAAATTGACATGTTTTCTTTTCAGGACTGGAACAAAGCAAAGACGGTCCCAGAAGGTTACACCCTTGTGCTGGCTGAACTGCTGACCTGAAGGTTGGCGGTTCAAATCTGCAAAACAGGGTGAGCTCCTGTCCTTCAGTTCCAGCTTCTCATGTGGGAACATGAGAGAAACCTCCCACAGGATTGTAAAACAGGATCCAGACATCCCCTGGGCAACATCCTTGCAGGCAGCCAATTCTTTCACACCAGAAGCGACTTGCAGTTTCTCAAGCCGCTTCTGACATGGAAAAAAACTCTACAGTCATCCCCTGGGATGAGAAGAGAGTCAGCTCTCTCCTCAACAATACTGTAGGTGTGAGAGCCATTAAAGTAAATTGCAGCAATCCTTTATAATGAAGCCTTAGGACATCTAAATATAGGGGTCACGGCCAGCTCCCTTTGTAATCCCATTAATTCGGTGAGAATCATGAAGAGGTGAAGTGAAAAGTATGCTTTTTATCTCAGGAGGGAGAGTTGTGATACTGAAGATATGTTCAGGTATTGAGAATAAGGAATAGCTTGTCGTATGAACGCTTTATTTCTACCTCCCCCAAGTTATGAGCGATAAGGAGTAGCCTGTTTTGGTTGTACATAGGATCAATATTATTTATAGAGCAACAATCAACACTTAGTCTTTGTCTAAGCCGATTTGAGTCCCTACCAAGAGAGAGAGCTGTGTATAACAGGAAGCAAGTCACTTGTCCAGTACAAAGGTACAGGAAACAATGCTGCCTTTTCTCTGGGTAAGATCGCTATGAAGAAATAGTTTTTTGAAAACTCTTAAGACATATATATATATATATATATATATCAGCCAATTGCTAAACATTTTCTTTTGCCACATTGCAAGAATCGGACATTTAAAAAATCCCTCCTTATTTTTTAATTAAAAAATACGTAGTTATATTAGGCATACATCTGTGAACTAAAGTTGCTTAGAGCAGTGGGCAGGAAATAATAGTTCTTTAGTTCTTTAAGGGCTGGCCAAGGTGGCATACCTTTTCTGTTAAAAGGGCACACATCTACAAATGGCCTAGTAGATTTAAAAGAGTAGGGCAACTGGACATGCATGAAGCACTGGTAGTGGAGTCTCCACTGAAAAATGCAGTTTGGGTAATGGTGGTGACAGTGAGGTTTTCCTGGGATGTCATCCCTTTAGCTATAGATAGCAAACTCAAAGCTCCTTAGAGAGAAACCTCTTACCAGCCACTTTCCACAAATGGTACATACACCTAAAGGTACTTAGTGAAAATCCTTGAGAGGTATTTAATGCTAAAGTAGGCAGACTCTCGACTATTCCTCTGAAGCCCACGCCTACAGCCAGGCAGTGGCGCTGAGAAAGCAGTACCTGGGCAGCCGCCCCAAGGCATACCAGTGCTTTTGCCCCAGCTAGGCTCTGCTACCCTAACAGACCGCCAAGATGTGTGACATGGGGGGACTCGATAACCTGATCGCCAACACAGCGTACTTAAATGCCAGAAAAAGTGGCGATGTCGATGCTAAGGAGCTGCAAAAAAGGTGGAGGGTCCTTGCACTGCCCAAGATGGAGGAATGTGCTGCAATTAAGCAATCCATTACTATGGACTATAACAATATTTGCGAGCAACAGCCTATCGGGAAGAAATTTTTCGGGGAATTTTTGGAGACTGTGCCTGAATACCTGTTGGCCAAGGAGTTCATGGATGAAGTGTATGCTTGGGAGTTAGCAGAAGATAATATCAAAAGCAGCCTCTTAGAGGGCATAGTCAACATGTATCTGAAGAATATCAGCAATAGCTTCTTGAAATATCTCAGTGCAGATCTGTCCAACAAGTGCCAGTCGGCGTCTAAAGATGATTTTGAGAAAAATGTGCAGTCAGCCAGGGAAGAGACAACTGAATACCTTAAAGGAAAACCATTTCAAGACTTCCAAAGTAGTCCATTTTTTGACAAGTTTGTGCAGTGGAAAGGCTTTGAGAAACAACCTGTTAACGATAAGCTCTTTGATGAATTCCGAGTGTTGGGAAAAGGAGGCTTTGGAGAGGTAAGGACAATCATTTATTTATATTTCTTGTGCAAAAAGTTGGGCCTAGGCAATATAATGAATGGCCTTTACCAGAGAGTAGGCATGGAACAACTTGCTAACCTGGTCTTGTGAAATATGCCCATCTTTTGCACTTTTTGTTGATCATTCTGCAGCAAAATGTATTCAGGAGCAACAGGAAAAGTTTTATTTGCAATACTTGTATCACTTTCTTCAAGTTGCTTCTGTTTACGTGATGTGATGTTAATCTCATTTTAGAATGAAATAACCTGCTATAGTTTTAATGATGTACTGTAGCTTTTCCCCAGTGGATACACTTACAGGCATAGTATAGATCACTGCTCCATTATGTTTCAGCAGTGTAGAAAGAGTGGCAGAGAATCCAGAAGTTGCATAGCCACAAATTCTTTTCATCTAAACAAAGCTTTTAATTAGTCTAAAGCTCAAGTACATGCATGTTGACTGATAGCTTTTCATAAATAGAAAAAAGAGAAGCTGTCTCTCAGATTCCCTACGGAATTCCCTATGAATCCCTACGGAAATCATATCCAAAAAGTAATACAGCAGAGTCTCGCTTATCCAACATAAATGGGCCGGCAAAACATTGTTGGATAATAAGGAGGGATTAAGGAAAAGTGTATTAAACGTCAAATTACATTATGAATTTACAAATTAAGCACCAAAACATCATGTTTTACAACCAATCGACAGAAAAAGCAGTTCAATACACAGTGACATTGTGTAGTAATTACTGTATTTATGAATTTAGCACCAAAACATCGCAATGTATTGAAACAGTTGTGGATCTGGGCAGGAGGCAGACTGCGTTGGATAATGCAGAACGCTGGATGAGCGAAGGTTGGATAAGCGAGACTCTACAGTACCATGAAGCTCTCACAATAAAGGCCATATGTTATCTCACTTCACTTATTCAGACTTTCCCCTTTTTTCATGAAATTTGCTTTAGGTATGTGCCATCCAGGCAAGAAATACTGGGAAGATGTATGCCTGTAAGAAGCTTGACAAGAAAAGATTGAAGAAAAAAGGCGGTGAAAATATGGCTTTGCTAGAGAAGGAAATCCTGGAGAAAGTCAACAGTCGTTTCATTGTCACTCTGTCCTATGCTTATCAAAGCAAAACTGCTCTATGTCTTGTCATGAGCCTCATGAATGGAGGAGATCTTAAATATCACATTTACAACGTGGGTGAAAAAGGTTTGGAAATGGATAGGGTCATCTTCTACTCAGCTCAGATCACGTGTGGGATCCTGCACCTTCACTCCATCAAAATTGTCTACAGGGACATGAAGCCAGAAAATGTCCTCCTGGATGATAATGGCCATTGCCGGTTGTCTGATCTTGGCTTGGCCGTGGAAGTCAAGGAGGGCAAAGAAATCAGGCAGAGGGTAAGTAAGAGTTCACCGCGCAGAGCTGCAAGGAGGCGGGGTAGAGAGAGGCTTGTTCTATTTCCAAATGCACTGAGCTCAGGCTTTAATTCTTTAGGATTTGTTCCTCAGTAAAGATCTTATGTGGTCATTTCATTCTAAGTGACAGATGGTAAGAGGATTAGTTTAATTAACTATTTGGATGCACCATGTGGCAACTCAGCCAGCAGACCTGCTACTTATTCATTCCTAACAAGAAGTTGCCATTTTAATGCATAATATAAAATGAGCATTTTCTTCCAAACAAGACATAGCAGCCTAGCAAAAACAGTAGAGAAGGAAGGAAAAGCCAACATGGGTTGGTTCTTTGAGCATTGAGTGATGGATCTGAAGACCAATGTTCACATCCCTGCTCAGCCCTGGATGTCCACTCATTGACTTTAGGGAAGCCACACTTTTTTCAGTCTCAGAGGGAAATAAAGGCAACCCTCCCTTGAACACATTTTGCCAAGAAAACACTGTGATGGGGTCACCATAAGGCAGAAATTACTTGGAGGCACACAACAACAAGGGGAAAGAGTTGGAAGAAGAAAGATATTATTGTAGGAAATTTTCCCCATTTCACTCGAAAATACAAGAAATAATTCAATGAAGAATAATTCTGTAGAAATTCTAGTGGGATTAATTGGAACTGGAGAGGAGCATTATTGTTTGTTTCAATTGAATTTCTACAAGAAAACTTCCACCTGATTATTCCTACATATCTATATTCAAGGGGTTGTCCTCAGTCTCGTCATCAAATTTGGGCAGAACAACCCACACCGGAAGTGCTACCCATCCACTTGCACATTCCAGGTCAAACTGTAGAAAAAAGCAGGAGGTGGGAGCAAGAGGATGAAATGCTTGATAAAAATAGACCTCCAGATCAGATAGCCTCAAATAACCCAATTAGAAACCAACCCACATGTTACAATTAAATACATACACACACACACACACACACACACACACACCAAATCCTCTGAGATCTCTAGCTGGTTCAACCTGGGGAAAAATCTTTCTCAAACTTAGTTATGGAGATACTGAGTATAACTCAATTCCATGCTTTTCCTGAAGAAGGTTATTAAGCAGGGGAGTGGGTATTACATAACACATTTAACATGTACATAACGAACCTTATAATTTAACAAAAATACTTGTATAAACACAACAACACAAATTAACAATTTTTGAGACAGTACCACAATAACGGTACAATCAGCCACAGTCTCCACTGACATAAAATCCTACTTGAGATGTTACAACTGGAAATGCCATGTCCTTTTTTTTTTACACAAAAATGGCATACTTTAATTGATGAAGAGCCTTATGAGGTAATTTAAATATGGTACATAACTGATGTTGTTACATATCATGATAGACTGGCTTGCAATAACTTATAAATTGCATGACCTTTGGTTTGTCTTCCCATTTTTAATTTGTTTCTAATTTGTTTTTCTGAATTTTTATCTGCTCTTTTTGAATGGGTGGGCATATGAAGAAAATGAAATATCTGTTTTGCAACTGGTTGATAAAACATCCTTGTTAGCAGGCATTAGTTCATATATCATGACATACAAATGCAGTCAATGTCCCATATTTCCATTATCCAATGTACTTTTCTTGTACAACTGCCATGAAATCAAGTTAAAGGGTGAGATCATAACACTATGTAACAAAATTTGAAACATTTTCTGTTCCTCGTTTGAAAGCATTATTTTTGTTTGATTGTGCAGTACTTATTTATTTATTTACTGTATTTACTTTATTTACTTATTTACTGTATTTACTTATTTATTTATTTACTGTATTTATTTACTTATTTATTTATTTACCTCTGGGGTGAGAAAGGCGGCAAAAATCAGTGCCAACATACAATACACAAAGAAATCATAATAACTAACTACTAAATGTAACTATGAACTTAAAATCAATTAAAACAATTAAATACTACTTACTTTGAAACTAGTTGTTAAACTTCAGAAACTTTGTTTTTGTGGCTACCACAAGCTATGTTGTATTTGTTGAAACTCAATGAGATATTTATTGAAAATCTATAGCAAAATGTGCTGCAGGATGTCCTGCAAAAACAAAGTTTTTGCAGTTTATAATAAGTTTTTAAAATGTTTTTATGATAGGAAATGACATTTATAATACAGGAACAAAAATTGTGTTATATAGTGTAATTATTGCAGGTAGTCCTAATATGCCATACATTTTTTAAATACAGCAGCAAAATATAGCCTACAAGTCTTTTAGCGCAGGGCTTCTTAAATTTTTCCACTCACAACTCCTTTTTTGCCAGAGAATGAATCTGAAGTTTGTGAGTATATCAAAAGAAAGACCAACTTAAGAAAATAAAATATTTTAGTGACTGATCAACATTTGTCCTACCTATGCACATGACATCCATGATTTAATTAGTATCTGTGTTAAAGATTGAAAGTATTTTGTTAGAGAAAAGCTATCTTTTCAGGACCATTACTGATCCTTGCATATGTCTATTAACAAAGCCTTTGTCAAACACGCTCCTTTTTACAAAGTATTTTTGGACATTGGTGAGTTACTGCTCTACTGCACTCATTTGTGCCTGCATACAATAGGCAACTTATTGAACATGCATGACCAGCAAAGCAGAAATCCAATAAGCCTGCCTCACCAACTATGCTCAGAATGATAAAAAAAAAAAATTGATTTGGAAGTCTGGCTACCAAATAGAAATCACAAGAAAAGTGGAGGCTGGCGAACAAAACTTTTTCAAACTAGAAGTTTCAAAATATCTGCTAAATATATCGAGGAATGGCTGTTTCTTTCACTAGCCTCCACTTTCTCATGATTTCTGCCATTATGTAGCCAACCTAGTTTTAAAAAGTTTTTGTTTACTTTTGCAAAGTTTAGATGGACTTGTTTTATTTCACCTGTGCATATTGTTCATTTTGGACTTTAAAAAGTCGCTGAAACACGTTAACGTGTTCAGAAAAGGGTGATCAGAACAGTAAAATAAAGTCTGGAAACCATGAGGAGTTTCTTAGGAAGCAAGGCGCACACCACCTGCTATTTACCGCCTCCTCTCTCTGAAGCTCCCCCAGCAATTATTTTTCCATTGGATAATTATGTAATTCTATGATGCAACGGGAATAAAGTTGACACTTGACTATATTAATATCCCAGTTCCCTCATGCCACCCAGCCACTCCTAATCCTGCATCATGCCTTGGACTGTAACCACAATGAATGCCTGGGACACCCCTGATCTAGACTGAATCCTGTACACAGTTAGTTGGGAGTCCTATTTAAGTTAATGAGTAGATTTGTCTAAGATTGACTACTCATTCTTCATTCCCAGTAATCTCTTTTTTGATTTTTTTAAAAAAATGCAGTTAGGGAGAGAAGTTGTTTACCAGTGGAACAAATGTTGGTCTACCCTTGCCATCTAAGCAATAATGCATTGTTATTGAGGCAGTAGACATTTTTTTATTCAGTCTCACAATTCAGTGGCTTGGGTTTGATCAACTTCCAAAGGATGTACTTTCAGAATGCAGTATGACTACATTGAACTGGATTATAGGAGTCTACACTACTATATAACCCAGTTTAATGCAGTTAAACTGCATTATATGGTAGCGTAGATCCAGCCTAGGTCAGGGATAGATCATAACTGAGGATATCCAATATTCACATTATTTTCAGAGATTTTGAAAAACAGCTAAATTAACTATGTTAAGAGAGCTGATCCAAGAAAAACAGGCAATTGGTTATCTTTGCTTCACACCTCCCCCACTTCCTCTTACTTGATTTTATTTTTATGTTATGTGTTTTTATTGAGCTTTCCTAAGGAGCAATTTTTGGATGAAGAGCAGAGTCCAAATGCATTGAGTCAAATGGCTACTGCAGCCTTCTAGATGTTTTTGGCATAGCCCTTGGTGAGGGAATATGGGAGTTGTGGTACATTTTGACTACCCTGTCGTAATAAAGTAAAATTGCCTTAATAGTTAATATCTTTATATTTTGATGCTATAACAATGAGTGAATGATTATATATCTACTCAGTATGCCCTATGAAGAGGAAGGGTAGGGTATAAACTTAAATAGTCGTTGTTGTCATGGTCATCACCACCATCATTCACACAGTTGGAGTATATGGCTAGTTGATATTTCATATTTGCCTGCATCTAATAACAATAATCACTATATCACTGCTTTCTGATCAGGGAGCAATCATTGTATTTTGAACTTTAGGAAATATAAAATTCAAGTACTTTGTTTAAAACTGTGGTTCCCAACCTTTTTTTTTGACCAGGAACCACGCTCCCCCAATAGTATCAAATGGGTTACAAATCATTTTTGGTCAATTTTAAATTTGGATTGGTTATTTGGGGTGCTGATTCAGAAAATTGCATTGGATAGACCACATCAACTCTAGTTTCTGATACAGAACATATGCCATCCACAGAAAACCATATTTAATTAGCCTCAGCCAGGCCCGTAGCCAGGATTTTGATTCGGGAGGTACTGAGTTTGATTTGGGGGGGGGGGCTGAGTTTGATTTGGGGGGGGGGGGGGTGAGGATCTACCCTAGCAAACCTTTTGTATCATTATCCCAATAGCCCCATGCATATGAGATATATTGAGCATGGTGATCAGATCATGATATGAATAAACATAACAGTTTAAATAATGTACCAGTAAGGCCTTCTCATGGACCACCCTGAGAATTTCAGGGGAGGCTGAAGCCCCCCAAGCCCCCCCCCCCCCCCCAGCTACATGCCTGGCCTCAGCACTATAAGAAGGTTTCACGAGACCATCACTGTCATTGCAATGGCGTAGTAACGTTGAGGCCATGGACCATATTTTAGTTCTTGTGGACCACTGGTCATCCATAGACCACAGATTAACCACCACTTGGTTTAAAAATAGAGAAAGTGATATTGTATAATGACTAGCTCACAGCAGGAACTCCATTCTGATGACTCCATGAATTGT